CTGGTACAGTCCTTATCCATGGTCAGACAAGCTTTCCAGAACATAAGTCCCTGTCTACCTAAACCTACTCCCTGCTTCCCTGTGCCTCGGTGGAGTCTGAGTGCTTTGCTGCTTCCTCCAGTCCTGGAGACTGTGCCTCCATGTGCCATCCGTTTGGGACAGTCCCTTCCTCCACTCTGATGTCTCAGCCCCAAGGGTCACACGCTGGACCTCTTCTGCACAGGACTCCTGTACTTCCCTGCAGCTCCGTGGAGAGGCTGGCTTATCACATTAGCTGGTTCCATATTTCAAGGCCGGGGGCTTTCCTTTGTCCTTATACTGTGGCATCCCAGCATGACTTGGCGGGTACTGACCTGTGACTGGCTCTGGGGATGCAAGGAACAAAAAGGGCAGCACCCCACATGTGGGCAGATGGGAAGGTGCCCGAGATGTGTCCAGGACAGTGGAGACAGCATGAATCTGATGGGCCACGTCACACTTCTGCTCTTCATTTCCTAATCTTCAAAACCAACAGGAGGGCTAGGGGTGCAGATCAGTGGTCAAGGGCTTGCCCAGTAAGCATGAGCCTGTGTTCACTCTCGGGATGGGAGGTGGCTGGGAAGGGGGCACGACGAAGCCTGTGTCTAATGTCAAAGGTGCACGCACCCTAGTGTGAAGTGAGCCGATGAACCCTCTTACATGAAGGAGCAGCTCACTGTGAGATGCACGAGTGTATCGTGTGGGCTGTGCTTCATACAAATGAACCTAGGTCAAAAGCATGACTTGATGTAAACCAATCACCATCTAGTAGAATTCAGGGAAGCTTGGGGTTGGTGAGGACAGGGCTCCCCCTGAGCCTACTTGAAATCCTGGATGCTGTGTCCAGGGGCACACAGGGAGTGGGGATGAAGATGCCCTCCTCCCATTGTGGGCACCCTGCACCTCCTTCCCCATTGGAGCAGAAGAAGGGACAGGTACCAGGTTAGTGGTGTGCAGTGGGTGCTCTTGGGCTCCGCAGGAAGAACTTGTTCCACGGGGCCAAGAAGCTGGTGCTTATCTTTGAGGGGCACTGAAGGATCAGGTCTGTGTTTCAGAGTGACCATTGGAGGCAGCAGGAAGGCAAACACCAGGCAGAAGTTGGCAGTAAAGGGTGTAACTGAGTAGGGGATGGACTGCCTATGTACCTTTGTGTGTGCAGGGATGGAGGGGCCCTGGCAGATGCTAAGCACCTGGTGAGGGCAGCCATGGTGTGCCAGCAGTGCCCGGCAGTTGCCCCAGCCTCCCTAGGGTCAGGGCTCTGCTCCCTAGCCACAGGATGAGCTGTTATCAGACAGCACAGCTGGCTCAGAGGTGGCCCCCCAGCGCTGCTAAATCTGGGCCACTGGCTCCTGCCACAGGAAGAGGGAAATGCAGGCAGGATGTCCTCTTCTGTGGCGGACAAGTCCTTTCCCATGAACCCCTGCTGACCTTGTGGGCCACGTGGCGGGGGCTCCCCACTGCCACCCAGCTCTGGGCCGGCCTGGCGGGTGGGGAAGCGGGCGGGTAGGGTGCAGGCACAGGAGCCGGAGGCTGGAGGGGTGTGCCTACTGTCAGCCCCACCAGGGCAGGCCCAGCACCCCGGGCCACCTCCAGCAATGAATGTCTGTACCTTCCTGCTCTCAGACTTGTCCCCTAGGCATGACCGGAAAACTGAGATCCCAGAGGAAGCCCACGTCTGAAAAGGATTAAAACTCAGGGATCCCTGGCTCCAGTAGGACATGTCGCTATTCCTCTACAGAGGCTGGTCTAGGGAGTGTGAGAGGTTGCTCAGACTCCTCTCCCTGCCCACCCTCTGTTCTCAGGGCCTCTCAGAAGAATGTGGTGCACAGGCCAGGCCCTGGTGGCAGAAGACCTGGCCAGTGGAGCAAAATCATCAAACAGCACGAGGTGTGGAAATTAGACACAGAGAAGAACTTCTCCTCATGCTAAGACCTCACTTAATGGCCCTGGCTCCTTTATTCCTCTCTGCCCCATCACACACAAGTGCTTCCCTTCCTCTATCATTACCAGACCTCTCTGAATCAACTGGGAGCTCCTGGAGGACCCATTGACACTCCCACCTGGAGGCCATGTTTCTCCACATTAGCTTCCCCATCTGCATCTAACAAATAGTCTTAGTTTCCACCTAGAGTGCTTACGACAGACACTAGGCTTGATTAACAATGTCTCCTGGTTCATGCACCCACAGGCCCCAGCTTCCTGCCTCACCTGGCCAGTGTCTCCTTGCCGTTGGCCCCTGTCACCCTCTCCTGCTTTGTCACCCCCATCCTAGGCTTTAGCCTCATCTGACTGCTCACTGTCCCTATACAACATCTAGACTTTTCTTTCTCTGGGCTTTTGAGGAGTTCCTTGCCCCACTTAGAATGTCCTTTCCAGACCTGTCCAGGCAGCCCCTTGCTGGAAGTGATGCTGCCTTCCTGTCACCATCTGAGCTTCATTGGGGCCCCTGGGCATTTCACCTCTGGGCTACAGACATCTGATGCTACCTGTGGATCCCTGCCAGTCTAGCCCTCAGGAAGCTCCTGCAAGGTGGGGCCAGGCCCAAATCCTTCCTGGGCCATGCTGAGCACGCGCCATGATTGTGGTATTGGTCTCCTTCCTGGCTGGCACACTGGGGAGCACTCAGGCAGGCCACTTGTTGCACTTTGCCAGGGTCCTGGCCAGGTGGCCACTGTGCTCTGGAGAAGGAGCAGGGTTGCTGGCATCACACTGGCTCTGTACCTAAGCATGGTAGGCAGATGGGCATCACCTGCATTTGGGTACCAGAGGACTGAACTAGGGCAAGAGGTCCACTGGCACCAAGAAAGGTGGGCTCAGCCCCCACATCCTGCCATGTGTGACCCAGATGACAGCAAAGATGTGTGTGTCAGGCCAGGCCAAGCCAGGCCAGCCCAGCCCAAGTATCCAGAATTGCCCTGTATGTCCCTAGGCTGCTACCCACTGTCTCAAGGCACAAAGAGCCTCTCTCTAGAAGGTCAGAAATGAAGCCCCTCATGGGGCTGCCATCTGCCATGTCCACAGGGACACGGACTGGCACTGGATCTGATGTCTGGCCTTGAAGTCCAACACAGTCACTCACTGTTTGCTAGTCTGCCGCTCGGCGTGAGTGGCAGAGACTGGAAAGGAGGGGCCCAAGCTCCACTGTGAGGACTTGGGGGCAGGCCAGGGTGAGGCTGAGGGGTCAGCTTTAGGGCCCACACACTTCTTGCCCCCCCACTCTGGTTTCCTGGAGCTTGACTACACTTAGAGGCTTATGCTGCTGCTACAGGCTGGGGGCTCCTGTAGCAAGCAGGGGTGGGGACCAGGTGCAAGGCCCAGGGAGGAACGGTCTCTTCACTGCATCCCCACCCATTCACACTCGGGTCCTGTCTGGGCACTACCCTGCAGCTGGCACCCTCTCCTCTTCCTCATGGTCAGGTCTGCAGAGTCACAAGTACTCACCCAGGAAATGGCCCCACTTCTCTTACCCGTCTCCCTCCCGGGTCGCACAGCTGCAGAATATCCTCCTCTCCCTGGCTTCTTCCCCACGCCCCATGGTGGGCCTCTGCTCTACCTGCTCTCCAGCTGCCCAGCCCAGCCTCTCTCCTGTGCCTCAGACGCTGCATCTCACTGCCCCGCCAGGTGTTCCTCACGGCATAACCCGGGGGGAAAGAGCTCTCCTTCCTTAGCCCTGCTGTCCAGCCAGGGTCCCATCACCTCCCCACGAAATACTGAGCCCCTGTGAGAGCCTGACCCTGGTCTCGCATGGGGAGCAAGAAGCGGCTGAGAAAAGTCGCCCTGCACAGGCCTGGGCTGAGACAGTCATCCTCCCCACGTGTCCCTGAGAAGCCGCAGGCAGCCCTCCCCACCATCCTCCTGGCCTCCTGAGGACCGGGGAGGGTTAGTGCTGTCCTTGGTCTACGCCTCCCCGCGAGTAAAATGAGTCTCTCTCTCACTGTGAGAACTAAAAGACATGAAGTATGTAAGGCCAGCATTCCATTTCGGCAGCATAAAAAGTACCAAAGTTTCCACCTCTGTTCTGGGGCCTCCCTGCACTCCTCTGGCGAACAAGGACATCCACGACGCTCTCTCCACTCCTTGGTTTCCAGGGACACCATCTTTCGTCCACTCATTCTCTTTCCTCCCTAATGCACCCTCCCTGACAGCTCCATCCGACCCTCTGCGGCCTTCTCCTCCCCACACTCCAGGCTCTCGGACTGCACAGCTCAGCACCTGCCAGTCCCGCGCCCAAGACCTTCCGCGGCGGCCTCTGGTCCGGGCTCCTCGGTTGGCCTTCAAGGCTCCTTTCCCCAGATACGGGAGTCCCGGCCTCCTCCACTTCTGCTGCTCAAGCCGCTCACGTGCGCGGGTCCCCAGATTCTAACCTGCGCCTGCGCCCTCCGCTCCGACGGCGCCCGCGGGGGGCACCGCCCTGTGCCCGCCTG